CTGCACATGAAAAAACCTATAGGTGATCATTCCTTAAGGTGCTTGAGAATTCCGCAGTGTCTTAGGGTCACCAGTTTTCCCTGGACAGTTTTAAGAGACATAGAAGGTTTGTTAAGTCTTCCTTGGCCCTGAGTATTCACTCCGAAAAATAATTTATTTGAATAAAGTTTTGATACATTTGTTCTTTATATCATTCTGTAGGCTCAAAATGAACAATACAATGATATTTGTTTTGCTTATACATAGTGAATTTTCATTAATAAAAATTACTACTTTTGTAAAGGAAGTTACTAAAATACGAGCACGTAAATTAGATGTAAAAATTCAGGGTATTTGAATCCCAGGAAAACAGGAGTTTACTGTGGTTTAGATGTCAGGCTAATTGTACATGATAATTATTATAATTGGCAATGTTTCTTCCAAAGATTGAATTTTTGCTAAATTTTCATATATATATTATCACTAGCTTGAGTTTCCCCTTTCTCTGCCTTCATTTCTGTTGTCACCAGAAGGGAATTTTTAAACATTTTAAAAATAGTTCTTTCCCTGTAAGTCACCCCGAGCACAATCATTTCCTCCAGTTTCAAACATAAGGGAACCTGGCTCAGACAAGAATGATCCTTGTTGCACGTCCACGGGCTCACGTGTTCTCCTTTTTATTCTGAGAGGCCCCAGCTCAAACAGCTTACAAGGTTAAGGGCTACTCTGTTTGTTCCCAACAGAGCTAATCCCTGCTTTAATTAATAGAGGTCTACAATTCTTTTTTGAACATGCCTTCAGAGTGGAGATCTTTGGCCATGAGCTCTTCTTTGACATCAAGTGCCCACTGGCAATCTGTTAGGTCTAGAACTTTCCACTTTGCCTTGAAAGCTTTGTTGCTCTCTGTGGGCATGGCCATGGCTGCTCCAGTCATCTTTGCCTGGATTGTTTTTTTGTTTGTTTGTTTTTTAGATTTCATTTATTTACTTGACAGAGAGAGAGCACAAGCAGGGGGAGCAGCAGAGGGAGAGAGGGAAGGGAGATTGAGAGCCCGATTCGGGGCTCAATCCCTGGACTCTGGGATCATGAGCTGAGCCGAAGGCAGACGCTCAACCGACTGAGCCACTCAGGCACCCCTGCTTGGATAATTCTTGACTGCTTATTGGCTTTATTTTGGCCCAGAATGAGAGAATAAATGCTCTGAATCCCAAATACATAGAAGTACCAGGATGTAGCATTTACCCAGATGCAGCTAATGCGAATAGTTGAATTCCTTGCTATGGCATAGGCTTAAAACAGGGTCATTGGAAATAAGACTTTGGTTGTAACAAAGCCTGAGCATGTCATGTTACCCATTCACGAGTAAGAATAATTGGGAGGACATTTGTTAAATTCCCTTTCACCATGTCTGTGAGCATAATGATATCAGTCGTAAGAGAAGGTAGTAGTGTTTTCCCTTTAGTTTTTTGAAAAATCCATCCTTTGGGGTGTTTTCCGGAGGACTCTGCTTTGTATTAGGACTTCATCTGTCAAATACTTGCTCCTGGGTGAGTTTCTGTCACTCTGCAGCAGGATGGTGGATCATGCCCACAGAGAGGGTGATGATAAACATGGGCAGGAACACCCAGAGGCTCACATTGGAGTCGAGCTGCAACCCCTGCCATCTTTTTTTTTTCTTTTAAGATTTTATTTTATTATATTTTTTTAGAGAGAGAGGTGTGGAGGGACAGAGGGAGAGGGAGGGAGAATCTTAAGCAAGCTCCATGCTCAGCGTGGATCCAGACTTGGGGCTCGATCCCACAGCCCTGAGATCATGACCTGAGCTGCAATTAAAGAGTCAGGCACGTAACTGATGGAGCAGTCCATGCACCCCTAAAGATTTTATTTTTATGTAATCTCCACACCCAGCGTGCAACCCTATTGCAGAGTTACATGCTCTACTGACTGAGCCAGCCAGGCGCCCTTCGCACCATCTTAATTTATTGAGAGCCAGCCTAGTCAGGATTGCAGGCCAGGCCCTAAGCCTGGGCATTACCTTCTCCCAGAGCTGGCCCTGGCTGTGCTGTGGCCTCAGGCCTAGTGTGCTGCCTTCAGCTGGGCTGCCATTTTATTTTATTTTATTATTTTTTTTAAATTTATTTGAGAGAAAGAGCAAGCGCTGGGTGGGGGGTGGGGACAGAGGGAGAGAATCTCAAGCAGACTCCTCACTCACACAGGGCTCGAACTCATGACCCCGAGACCATGACCTGAGCCGAAAGAGTTGGATGCTCAACCAACTGAGCCACCCAAGGTGCCCCTGCCATTTGATTTTAAATAGTTTCTGAAGTTTATAGAGTTCTAAAACAGTCATCAAGATTCCCTGAACTCTTGCTTGTTTTAAACCATCTGTATTAAAACCACATATTGAAGTGAGAGGTACTAAACCTAGGTTTTTTTTGACCACTCCAACCTTCCTTGCCTCAGTGAAAAAAAAATCAAGCTATAAGATAGTGTATACCGTATGAATTCATTTTTATAAAAACACAAAAACTTATTTATCACTGCCTACTCTATCAAATAAGTACTCAATAAAAATTATAGCATAATGGTTGAAATGATTGAATATACAGTAAAAACAATGGATATATATTATATAATTGTTTAAGAGTGGCATTTTTTTTTTTTTTAGAGAGCACGTGGGTGTGCGCGCACACATGTGGTGGTGGGGGAAAGGGGCAGAAGAAGAGGGAGAGAGAATCTAAAGCAGGCTCCATGGCCAGCATGGGGCGACAGGGAGCTTGATCTCACCACTCTGAGATCACCACCAGAGCCCCCATGAACCCCAAGTGTTGCACTTTCTTATTTATTTATAAGTGGTGAGAGAGTGGTGAAAATGAAAATACTTTGTAGCTATAGATAGAGCCGTGCAGGAAGTCATAAATTCAGCCATTTCCTGAAATAATCTCATGCTGCTAAGAGATTTTATTATCCTTTTGCTCTGAAAGGCAACATAATAGTTGGGATGTATCATAAGGAAAAACTGTCTTCCATAGTTGAGGTATATAGAGCACAATGGGGGGGGCGCCTGGGTGGCTCAGTTGGTTGGGTGCCTGCCTTCAGCTCAGATCGTGATCTCAGGGTCCTGGGATCAAGCCCCAGATGGGGCTCCTTGCTCAGCAGGGAGCCTGTTTCTCCCTCTCTCTGCCCCTCCCCACCACTTGTGTTCTCTCTCTCCCCTTTTCTATCTCAAATAAATAAATAAAATCTTACAGAGCACATTGGACACAATTCCAAAGCAAATGGCTCACCGCAGCTGAGAGAGCTCAGTTGTAATGACAGATGAGTGATGGCTATCTTACTCTTGCTTGAAAACAGCCTGCTTAAGTACTGGAATGGGAGATACACTCACTGGACAGAGACCTTTTAGGTGAGAAATAGAGAACTTATCCTTGTCCTGGGGAGCTCATAGGCAAGTGACTTTGCGAGATTACAGTTAAGAGTTCTTGGGCTTCAGTTGAATTCATCTTTAAAATAAGGATGGGGGCACCTGGTTGGCTCAGTCAGTTAAGCGTTGACCTTCTGCTCAGGTCATGATCTCAGGGTCCTGGGATAAAGTCCCACATTGGGCTCCTTGCTCAGCGGGGAGTCTGCTTCTCCCTCTGCCTCCTGTTCCCCCTGCTTGTGCTCTCTCTCTCTCTCTGACAAATAAACAAATAAAATCTTAAAAAAAAAAAAAGGATGGGGGTGCCTCGGTGGCTCAGTCGGTTAAGCTTCTGACTCTTGGTTTCAGCTCAGGTTGTGGTCTCTTAGTTGTTGAGATCGAACCCCCCCATTTGGGCTTAGCAGGGCGTCTGCTTCAGATGCTCTCTCCCTTTCCCTCTCCTTCCCCCTTTGCCTCTTCCCCCAGTTGTTCCCCCCTCCCAATAAAGAAATAAAACCAACTAAAATAAGGATGATAATATTATTCCTGCTTAAAAGGTTGTTATAATAAAAACTACTTAAAAGCATCACTCATATTTTAAAAATACAGATTTAGATATGTCATGTAATGTAAATTCTAAATTTGCTCATTGTAAGTAAATGTTTATTGAATATTTAAGTCAGGGACTGTGCTAAATGTAATTTTTAAATATTTTATTTTCTCAACAGGTGGTACTTTATTTGGTAAAACAATTTCAAAAGGGTCTGCAGTGAAAAATCTTCCTTCTACCTTTTCTCCCAGCCCCCAGGTTCTTTTCATTGTTTTCAGAGAGATTTTATGCATGTATATATATACACACACATATATGTATCTGCTTTTTAAAGTCACAGATGGTAGCCTATTATATAAACTACACCTCTACAAAGTATTTCGTATCTTTATGTCATTTGATACAATAGTAGTTAAGATAGGTGCTCCTGTTATCTCCATTTTATAAACAAGAAAGCAAAGACCTCTCTGTTTCTTAGTACCTTGTCCAGGGACACATAGCTCGTCAGTCATAGACAGGATCTACTTCCTAGGTATAGAGGGAGTCATTTTGGTACCACTGATTGGACTTTTTATCTTGAAACCATTTCAGACGTACAGAAGAGTTGCAAGAATAGAATAAAGAATTGCATATACTCCTTGACCAGAGTCTCCATTTGGGTTTCTGCGGCCGTCTGGATAATGTTGGCAAAAAGAGTTAAGCCGGGAGCACACGTTGTTCTAGTTGCGCTGTCTTGCTAGCCGCCTTCAGTCTGGAACTGCTCTTAGGCTTTCTGTAGCTTTTGTGACCTTGATGTTTTTGGTGATCACAGGCCGGTCGTTTTGTAGACTCTCTCTCAATTTGCTGTGGTCCTAGATTTCTCCCCAGTTAGGCCAGTATTATACACTTTTGGTGCAAGTATCACCAGTTATGTTGTGTTCTTCCCAGTGCATCCCATCAGCTGACATACAGTGGCGATTCGTCCCACGACTCCCGTTAAGGAAGGAAAAAAAAAGCAGAAGAGGGGAAAGTAACATAAATTAGTTTTCATTTCCGCGGGCCCAATGTTCAGCAAATATCTTTTCTTTGTAGCATCCTGGGGGAGAAGAGGTTCTGCTGGAACAAGCTGGTGCAGATGCAAGTGAGAGCTTTGAAGATGTCGGCCACTCCGCTGATGCCAGAGAAATGCTAAAGCAGTACTATATTGGTGATGTGCATCCGGTAAGAACGAGCTGAGCTAGGAGTGCTTACAGAGACGAAGCTGCTGAACAGCCACAGAACACAAGGAGGGGGAATGAATCATTAAAACGGAAACTCATTGAACCCAGCCATCAGGCTACATATTCTCCCAAATCCTTTTGCCCGCTGTGCCGAGATACAGCTTCTTGTATGTGAAGCAACACCGGTAGTTATCTGAAAAGTTAAGGGAAGTGATTTTGGAATTTTTTTTTTAATTGATTTTTGTAATGCAATTACATCTCTACCTAAAAGAATGATTTGGTGGTTCTTGGAAATTCCTTGCTAAAGGTGGTAACTGTGGACGTTCTAACAAGGGACCCTGATAGGCCCAGAGTTGGGGCAGGGAGAGCATCTGCCTTTCTACAGACCTTGATGTCTCTCAGAGAATTCTCTATTACCAGAATGTATTCTCATGGTCTAAGGTTAGAACAAGCACATAGTGCCCAGGGTGAGAATTCATTTGGATATGACTTAAAATATTATTTGTTTTCCTTTTTTAACAGAATGACCTTAAACCTGAAAGTGGTAGCAAGGTAAGAAGTCATCTCTTTCTCTTATGTGTTTCAAGTGTTTATATTTCTATTTACTCAAATAGAACGGCTTTTATAAAAATTAACAAGAGAAGTGTTTACTTTTCCCCCCAAGCAAAAATCCTGTTTTTTTCAGGAATTTGGACTGAGTGCCATCTCAGGAAAAAAGAATAGCTGAGTCTTAAACAGTAGGAAACATTTTGTTCATGCTTCTATTTGCTTTAAAAAAAAAAAAAAAGGAAATTCTAAAGCCAGTATGGTTTTGAAAGAAATTAGTTTATGGGTTCAGTGTAGAAAAGTATTTCTTATTCTTACATTAAATAGTACAGGTGATAACAATTCTGTGTTGGAAAAAATCATTGGGAAATTGATTTTAGCTTAAAAGTCTGAGGAGTTACAGATTGAAGTAATTGACTGGAATGGGCCTTTCTGTCCCTGTTACCCAGATTTAATCCTTTTATCGTATAGGCTCACATAGGCCTATACTCATTTCATTTACTCAGTGATACAGCAAAAATGAAAGAGTAAATATTTGAAAAACTTAATGTGCACTGCATAACATACCAGGCATAAAATATGAAAGCCTTTTAGCTTCCCACAAGCGGGGCTCTTCATTTCCCTTATTACTTCAGGCTTTTTCTTGACTTCCTCCTTCAGACAGCTATCAGGTTACCCTTTCACTTAAAGGGACAGCAGTTCAGTTGCTACCAGAACATCATTGCTTGACAATGTCGGCAACCTGTTGCTGTGCAATCCAGAGTGTTTGTGGAAATTAACTCTTCCGTCTTGCTACACTCTACTATTCTGAATTGTTGAATTGTTTATGAAGGGGGGTGAAATGGTTCTTTTAAATGCTTCCGGAGCACTGTTGGTTGGTCTGTCTTCCCCCTCCTGGCACATGTAATGAAGGTCAAGTTTGAGCTGTGCGTGGCCTTGCTGAATATATTGGACCTGTCTAGAAGACATTGGTCTTGGTTAAAGTAAACATTTAATTCAAGGGATATTCCCATTTGTGCCAGAGATACACGTTGTATCTAGGAGCCATAACCCACTTTCACACGCCTTTACTAAAACAATGGAAAATATTTTGGGAATTATAATTGTTTAAAAGTCTACAAATTGCTTCTTGTTGCTATTTTTCTTCCTTGGTGATTCAGTATGTGGTGAGGACCATTCTTGGGAATGGAGAGCGGTGTTTTTCAGATTCTGTCCCTTGGACCACCTGTGTTGGAATCCCTGGGCATGTTTCTGAAGTGTCTATTTCCTGCTTCCACTACTACTGATTCATAGTCTTTGGAGGTGGGACTTGGGAATTTGCATTTGAAGTAACCCAGGTAGCCAAGCACCAGGCTTTTTGCTAAATGATGTGCCCATCTTTCCATTTGAAAACTTGGGGAACTTTAATTCTCTTCTGCATGAAGCACGGTCTACCTGGGATAGGCCAAAGAATGAGTTAGAGATGTCTCAGCTAAATTAAATCTGCTGAGCCTTGGACTTTTTGTAAGAAATACAGAAAAAGAAACCCTTTCAACTCACTGAATTCTGTATTAATTTAGAACTTTCCAAATGTAGTTTGGCCCCTGCCTGGTATAAACAGTGGCTAAAGGCAGTATATTCAAAGCTGTTTTCCCTATGTCTGTTGTACCCAAAGGACAGTCTCCATTAAGTGGAGAGTAGGTTATAGAGTGTTCCCAGTCATGCTGCTGTATTTTAGGCAGATCAGGCAAGGAAAATCTTTGGCAAAAATTTCAAGGCCATCTACATAGGTTTTCACAGAGCTATAGTCCAACCTGATTTCGGTTCCAGGAAGAAAGTCCTGGTCCCTCAGGTTTATTTCTTACAACGATTTTAAATAGGCACTTCTGTATCTAGGATGTAGATGTCTCCTTTCTTAATTTTTCTTCACTCACCATGGAGTAAAGGATGTAAAATTCATTTCATTAATACTTTCTTTTTTATTTATTTATTTATTTATTTATTAAAGATTTTATTTA